TTTAATCTCATGCTTCCCATGGTCTATCATCTTTGCGGCTTCTGAAGGAGAAGATTTATGCTGCTTTTCTTCATTTGAATTTGGAAGGTTGTGAAATGTGTGCCTCGTATCATTTTTCTTACGTGAAAAAACATTCAGGATAGTATTTGCGAATGAAACTGGCGATTGATCTGGGGTTGTGCGTTGGACTGCATCCACAGAGGGTTCCACATCATGAAGAGGGTATGAGGATTTTATAGAAGGGTCATCTGTGACAAATACCTTTAAACCAAGCTCTCCTTTTATGCGGGAAAATACGTTTTTCTTTTCCAGAGGGTAGTGAAGAACAACAGCATCAGAATATGGGACAAATGAGGGTCCAGTGAGGTGGATCTTACCAAGGAAGATTTTGGAACTATTGCTCTTGTTATAGTGGTAGACACAGGCATCTAGAGTGAGATTTGGCAATTTGTTTGGATCAGTAACATTGAAATAAAATTTCTCATTCCAAACAGGACTCAGATCTTTCTCTTTAGTTGAAGTCCTAAATTTCTGACCATCAAAGTGAAGTTCCACATAAGTACTAGATGAGCCCTGCCCATCTTTGGGCATAAGGTCATGAGCACCCACAACTTCCACACCTAGCTTCAGGTTGCTCATTTAGCTTCCAGATAAACTTGAGAGACGTTATGCCTGAAAAGAAAGGAAGAAACAAGATTCAGGATATAGATTTCAATAGCCTTAGGTGATCTAAGTAACTTCCTGGTCATGTCCTCTATTAAATTATGAGTGTAATTTTAGTCAACTGGAGCATAAACATTTTCAATAGATAAAAAAACAGTAATATCATTGTTTCAAGTAAAGATTTTAAAAGAACATGGCACTATATGGTTTGCTTTTGATTTATAACTATTGATGAAAATCAAATGCTTAAATAATTAAAATTTTACTTTAAATTCATAGCAAAAGAAGCATACTAATCCATCAAATAGCTTTTGTTCTTTATCTTCTTCAAAGATGAATTCTAGCAGTAGGATAGTAATTTTTTGACACATCTAAGCTTCAAAATCTTACTCTCTTGGCAGACAAATTCTTCGAAGTCCTACCAAAGAGAAAGCAAGACCATCTGTAGAGTGTAGACCACCTAACTGACTACAACATTACCACATTGACCAAGCTCAACTTTTCTTGAAAACCTTTGAGTTCCTATTATAATATTCAAAGTCAATAATGTGGAAATTCCCCAGAAAATAATCATTACTTAAAAAAAGAAGTATTCTCTTTGATTGAATTATCAAAGAAATGCATGACAGCTTCAAACCAATATTTACTTGACATTTTCTTTTTTAATAATATAATTTGACCAAGGTGTCAAATATAATATGAAATATTGCTGAATACATAAACATTTTGTGTGTGCGTATGTAAAGGAAAGCAACAAGTTTTATTTTTTTTTATTTTTTATGCATGGGGTTGTAAATTATTATTCAGTTGGTTCCTGTCATAAATAAGACAAGGAAAGATAAAAAAGATGGATAGCAAATCATTATCAAAAACAAAGTAATTCTTAAAACTCAAGCAAGAAAGAGAAAAAAATCCAAAAGCTTCAACCACCACACCCATAATAGTCTTCTCCGTGATCAAGAAGCAAGACTATAATCAAAACGAACCATAAATTCTTTTTATTCCAAGTATACAAAAAAAGAGGTATTTTCAATATTGCAAAAGAATAGAATACAACAACATCATAGTCCAGGGAAAAAAGGCACGGCTCCTTGTACCACGGTACATGGGACAGCGTAACAGGAATCTTCAGATACTCTGAAGAAAATGAAAATCTCAAATTAAAAGGAAAAAAAAAAAAAAACATTCCATTGATCCGAGAATCATGAAACCCCAGAGTGTTTATCTATTGTCATTCCAGTTCCTCTTACGTCAAAATATTTTAGCTGAAAAACAATCATAAGCCCTAATTATTTATCCAATATTTGCAAACTTAAGGGTGAAAAAACAAATATTTGACACAAACGAAAAGTTGATTCTCTGAGGAACCTAACCCAAATTTTCAATCAAATTAAAATTTCCCCAGGTAAAACAAAAAAAAAAAACAAAAGGAGACGAATTTTCTGCTACAGCCTGGCCAAAATCCCAATACCAAATTTCAACCCCCAAAAAAAATGTTGGTTTGAGGCCACAACGGTGAAATTAAGAAATAATAGTAAAACCCCAACGAACTTTTAAAAAGAAATCCATCTTCTGCAAATTCCACATACCCATAGAAAACCAAACACATGGAAATAAAAACCAAAACCAAAATCAAAATAAACTCATAACAAAGAAGAAGAGAAAGAAACACACCTGAAATTTCGAACTTTGAGACTTCCCTGCAAAACCCAGAACAGAAAAAAAAAACACAAGAACAAGTAAGATTGAGGTGGCACCCGAGGAGTTAAGAGAGAGAAATGGAAAAGGGAAGGGCAACGGGGTTTTCTGAGAATGTTAAGAGAGAGAAAAGAGTCAAGTGGCACACATTAATTGACGTTGTAGAATGTCGGTTTCGGATTGTTCAGTATTCATATGTGAATTATGGCGTGGGGTATCAGACTAAGAACTCAAAACACGGTTTTATTACAGTGCTGCTGGGTTGGGTGAGTTTAGCTGCGGCCCCACCTTCCACTCACTACTCATCAATGGATGTAATTCCAATTCCAAACTCTCTCTCTGTCTCTTCCTTTCCATGTGACACTAGTTTTTGTGAGTATTTATGGTGAGTATGTTTTGTCATGTTTCTTCTTCAAATATACTAAAATTATAGATTCTCCGATTATTCATTTTCATAATTTTTTTTCTTTTTCAACAAATTCAGTAAACTGAGTGGGATTTTTGAACATGGTATGGTATGATGTAAAGTTATTCCTGGTTTCTTTTTTTATCTTGCTGTAAAGTTATTTTTTAATAAATTAAAAAATATAATATTTTTTCGTATTAATAAAATATTTATAAAGTTTTTTGTTTTATTATTACTCTATAATATATATATATATAAGCATTAAATAAAAATATAATTAATTTCATTTTAAGTTAAAAAACAGCTAAATGAAATAAAAATATTTCAAAAATTCAACCATTAAATAAAAATAGATGGAGCGATTAATAGTTATATATCACATGCATTTTTTATGACCATATGAAATGCGGTTATTTGAATTCCTAAAAAATAAAATACGATTTAACTTTTTAAGATGAATGTTATATTATTATATTTTATTAGATAATATTGTTATCAAAATATAATTTTAAGACTAGATTAATACTAAATTAGGAATGTTTTATCAAGTTATTTTGTTTAGAGATTAATTTAAAAACTAAGTTAATATTATTTTCCATGTTTAAAGATCAAATTAATTATTCATTTATGTTTATAAAATATATAGTTGTGTGATAAGAAGATTGACTTTTTATTGAAAGGGAGATTATTTATGAAAGAATCTCTTTTTCCTAAAACAATTTTCTAAATTTTTGGATCAGCTTAAAATATATAAAAGAAAATTCATATTGATCATTTTGTTATTATATTTCAAATATTTTTAATATCAACTATTTTAATAATTCATATGTCAAAATGTTTCAATAATAATTGTCTTTGATGTCTTGTAAATAGTAATTCTCTTTAAAGATATTCTCAAAATAATAATTGTTATTATATATTTCAAATATTTTTAATATCAACTATCTTTTTAAAATTAAATAACTGTTTTGTTAAAATTATTTTTATTTTTTAGTTTTTGAAACTAAAAAAATTAAAATTGATAAAATATTTTATTATTAATTAATATTAATATTCTATCTAATAATTAAATTAAGTTATTAATTTTATATTATAAAATTATCAAAAACATTTTTTTAATTTTGATTATATTTTTTATGGTCGTTTATGTCGTGTTCTTTTATTTAAAATAGTTTTTACAAGTATATAAATAAGTTTTTTTTCAACTTATTTTCAAAAAAAAATTAAAATTGATCTCTAAAACTATCTTTAGAAAAAAAAATAAAACATAAATAAAAAAATTAAAGCTGATAAAAAAATATTGTTTATTTTATTTTTTAATTTTTATTAATAAATATCATTAAAATAATTTTTAAAATAAATGAATTGAAAAGAATTGTTTATAAATAAAATGATTAACAGAACTATATGAGGTTGAAAAATATGTTTTAAAATGAGATATTAATTCGATAACTATTTGTTCTTCCATTGAAAGGAAAAAACCAAAACATTTATGGAGTGTACAATACGTACATGACAAAGAAACAATATAATTGTGTTTATAAGCTCCATATGTCCATATCGTGAATAAAAAATTCAGAAAAGTTTTAACAGATGCTTACGTGCATGCGACAAGAAAATGTTATGGTTCTCTAACACGTATAAACTAATTTTGTATAATGTTGACATGCATAAATTAATTAACATCATGCTTCTTTACCTCATCATTATTTATATTTGATGAGATGATACTTGTTTTGGATTATTGACACCTTATATTTATCTAAAAAAATAATATTATCTTCAATGTAGGTTATGGGATGCAAGAAGAAAATATGGGGTGCAGAAATAATATTGAGCCCATTAACGATACACCGCGCTGTGATCCTTTCTGGCCCAATTACGAAGTGCAGATAAATGAGAATAATGATATACGGAGAATCAATTGAAAAACTACAACCTATAAATAATCATGTTATATTAATTAATATATAAAATTATAGAAAGAGAATTATGATATATTCTTGACCCTTTTTGTAACAGAGACCAAATTGGAAACATGGCCATTTTTATTTGTGTAATATTCTAAATTTACAAGATACAACTAAAAGCTTTAATAAATTAACAAAAAAATGCTCTTATAATCAAAATATTCAATCTCATTTTAAACTTTGTTACACCGAGAACCTATTGCTGGTGTAACATGTACAAGAATTCATCTACATATAGACTACAACACTGTCAATACTAGCCTCTATTGCTTTGTACTGATTCCCTTTGTCTTCACTTGTTCGATTAGAGTTTCCTTTTCTTTTAGAAGTTCTCTGAGAGTTTCGGGTGTATAAGGAGAAGGTACTGCACATGGAGGTGTATCACTTGGTGAGTTCACCATGGACTCAACCATAAAACTTCTTTGTAAACCTTGTACAGAACATGCCATACTTTCAGAACAAACCTCTCTTGCTCCTTCTGGTATGGTTGGTTTGTATTTCAAGAGTTTTGCATACTCGTTTAACACATGAAACATGTAATCATACACATGCTCCATCTTTAAATTCTCTATTATGTACTCAGTTCCTCTATTGCCAATCACCTGTGCCTGCAATTATTTCAAATTGTAAAATGAATTAGACAAGGATTTAACCTGCAACATCAGTTTGTGTAAGTACAAAACCATTTAGAGAAAAATGGAGGAAGAAAGTGTGATTACATCGTCAAGGTGAGAATTTCCCCAGTCCACAGCATGTTTAATGTCTTCACACATATTTTTGGGACTGATAGGCCAATAGTGTCGCAGAGGTAACATGTTTCTTGTAAAGAAGTCATAATACGTTGGCTCTATTAATAAGGTCATTGAGTCACACAGTATTATGTACTTTTGACTCACAGACCATGCAGCTCCTTCAATGTAGATCTTATATCTATGAACACAAATTTCAAAATTTAGTAATATCCTTAAGAAAGTTAGTAGCAGGTGTATCAATGGATTCAAAAAGCAAACTAACCCTTATTACTATAAGAAATTATTCAAGAGCTTGAAGATATCTACCTATAGGTACATTGATTTTCCAGTTTTGAGTTCTCGTAATTACTTACTTTCTCCCTGTCCCATTGCTGAAAAGAAAAAACAAAAGTGTTAATTTCAATTTGAAATAAACAGTGAAATATATTAACCTAAAATAAAAATCAAGGTTAGGATTATATATTTACTATGCTCTCTAATCTTGCATTCCAATCATGTTCTTTTGTGGGGTTGCACTTCATGAGTTCTCCCCTAATTCTAGCCACTGCTGGGTTGCCCTTCCAAAAAGCATAGGGTGTCCTATCTGTCCAATTGGTCTTCTTGTTACCTTCTAGTATATTATGTAGTGTTGATTCCCATGGTCCTATGTTGATCTCAGGCCTAGAAACAAGAACAAAAAAGTATATAACTTTCATAAGAGATAAACACATGATAGAATGAATAAAAAGTGAAAATGAACGAGAAGACCAAAGAGACAAATTATCTTATAATCTGTATACTATCAATGAAACATGTTCAAAGGGAATAGAAATTTTACCAACCCCAGAAAGACCAATCAGGGAAGACAATGTCATGTGAGTTTTCATCTCCACAGTAATGGAACACAGGTGGAGGTGACATGGCTTGTGGTCCTTGGAAATCTCTTTTCAATATAACAGTCTTGTCTCCACACTGAAACATCAGATCCAAATCTGGTATCTTTCCAGGGTACAACCTTAGAAGTTGCAAAACTCCCCATATTGTGAACACATCCCTTGTCTGATACACTTTGCCAATATTTTCTACGTAAACTTTTCCATTTACAATTACAAGCCTAAAATGTGAAACGTTTCTACCTCTTTCAACCATGTCCCTTGTGATTCCTGTGCTCTCCCATGGTTTTAGATCTTCACGGATCCATCTAAAGTAATCTGGACATTTTGATGAATCACCATCAGACTCAAATGTTGTGGGGTAGTACGATGAACATGTTGCTGCTGTGTTTCTGTCAGTGCAGTTAAGTGGGAACTGGAGTTGTTGCTTATTGAATATGACAATTGTCTTTATAAGAGTAGTGCTTGTTATTCTTGACTGCAAAGGACAATATAACATGGTTACATAAAAACATCATGTCATAAATTTTGTATATTCTTTCATTCTAAATTATCAGAAAATAATTTGTGTTTTGCTACACACTAAAAAAATACGATTAACTAAATTTTTGTAGGGAAGTTATTTGTTTATACCGAATGCTAATTAATCAACATTAAGTTTAACTTATAAAAAAAAAAAATCGTCTATTTTTTTTATTTTCTCACTCTTATTTACGAAGAAATTTGTATAAACAGAAAAGAAGAAAAAAAAAACTACCATTCAAATATTTCAAAACCCACTTTAAACTTTTTGGGATTGAGACAAACAAAACGAAGAGAAAGAGATGTGTAAGATATGAATCAAACACAAAATAAAGAAATACATAGATATGAATATGTGTGAAGAATAAAACTACTTACAATATCAATTTCCAAGAAGAAAGAGCTTGCAACAAAAACAAACAACACGACGATGGAGAAGAAAATCCATCTCGTCATCATGCTAAACCAAATGGGATTCACAAGCTATTGTGGTGACTATAACTCAGTGCACCTTCTTCAGAGTACTTGGTTAATTATATAAATAAACTCATTAATTTGTACTTAACCACTCAAAGACTTTTTCAATTACTTTCCCAGCATTAATTATCCATCTTTTTATTGTGAAGTACAACTATTCTTAATTAAGAATTTAATGCTGTTAGGTAACATTCTGTTACTATACCGTGTTTATAAGGGTATCCCATACGAAGGGATACACAGTGAAAAGTTACAAATTTGGTTAAAGTGTAATTTGATTTCTCTTAATCTTTAATTTTTTATTTTGGCCTTTTTAATTTTTTTTTCATGATTTAGTCTTTTGATTTTAAAGAACTTATAATTTGGATCACATTCTCAAGTATTTCATAAAAATATAACAATGTAGGGATAGTGATCCACTCATACTTTACCGTGAAAAAAAAAATGTGAATATGTTTCAATTTCTTCAAAAAAATTAATAGTCATAATTTGAAATAAATCTAGGTTTGGCTTCCTATGATCATGATTTCTGGGTTAGGTTTGCTAGATAAAAAAAGATAAATTTATGATGAACAAAAGCGAAATTAGATGAAAAAAAGTACAAATTAATGTGAGGAATAAAATTAATGAAGAAAATAGAAAAAAAAAATGTGAGGAATAAAATGGGAACGTACCCTATACTTCTTAACTTACTAATCAGAATTATTTTAACTAATTTTTGAGGTAAATAGAAGGATCTTCAACCGAAAGTAAGCATTAATTTTAATTAAATTCTGAATTTTCTTAAAGAGTTGACGTCTTTCAACAAATATTTTTCTCTAGAAAATTCTTCTCAAAGATATTGAATTTCATTGCATACTTAAATATAAAATTATTTATCTACGAGCAAAATCTAGTCTCCGATTTTATTTTATTTTATTTTATATTCCATCTTTCTTCCATTATTAACTGTTTGATGAAATTTTAGGTATGCACTCAAATTGATGGAATCATACGAATATAGGGTACTCTACACAGCAACCAAGTCAAAGTTCAATATTTTAATGCAAAAGCTATTACGTGGGATGACTTTAATCTATTTTTACGTAACCCTACACCCTCTACCTTTTAATCTCTCTCATTTAAACAAAGTTATTTTCATTTTCAAAGGTTATTACTTTACATGAAAGAGGTAAAAAGTAAAAATAAAATTTCAAGATTAAAATACAATATAGTTCAAATGGAAGTCAAATTCAGTTTACATATGTACACGATCATCACTAACAACAACACCCCTTAATTAGCAAGTTAGCAATCATTAAGTAAAGTTAATTAACAAGTTTAAGAAATTAACAGAGAAAGAGATGATGATGATGATGATGAGGAAGCAACAGATGCAGATAGAAAAGAAGCAAAGAATGAAAGTTAACCTAAAACTAGTGATTAAGATTAGATGACTTACTAGGTCAACCCAGTTGGCTGAGAAATTGGCTGTGGCAAAGAATAAGAGGAAGGAGAGGGAGAACAAGCCATAAGTTGAAACCCATTTTTTCTCTTTGCTTGATGATTGATGACAACCTTGTCTCTTTGCCATCATCAATGGAGGTTTTCTGCAGCTTTTGTTGATGGTGTTTGTATCACTAAATATATGCTTCAACTACCTCAAATATTGGATCTTAATCGTATTTTTATTTAGTCAAGGTTCAAACTTTGCTTACCAACCGAATGAGCAATATAAAATAGTTCCAGCATGTATAAAGAATGATATCGTGTAGCTTTAACAAATCACAACAATGACGAAATATAACTTCAATAAATCACTACTTTTCTTCTTTAAACTTTACTTTCTTAGTTTCATAAGTGATTTTAACTCTAAGTTCTCATTATTTGTTGCGTTTAATCTTAGACAAAACTAATTTTGCTATTCGAATTTGTTATTATATCCTACTCAAAATATTGTTGCTGGTAAAAATTAAAAATGAAAGTATGTTTGGTTTATCAAACATTTTAACTCTCCAACAATATTGAATGCCATGTTTATTATGTAATGAAATTATTAATTATAGATAATCAGATATATTATTACATATGTTTACCAATTTATTCATATTATATTAATATATATTTAAACAATTTTAAAAAACTTCTTTTATAAAGTAAATATTTTACACAATAATTAAATAATATATTTTTAATAGGTTTTATATTTTTGTAAAAATAATAATCAAATATTATAATTAATCTATTGTAACACTTGAAACTATATCTTTCACTCTATTATATATATATATTCACTCATTTTTAAATTTTTATTTCTCTCCTCTTTATGCATGATATTATAATGTCACTATATATATATATATATATATATATATATATATATATATATATATATATATATATATATATATATATACCACAAGTAACGTGTAAATAAAATCACGTGGAATGATTATGATAATTTAATTAGTCATTTTAAGTTAAAATCTTAAATATATAGTTAAGTCAAGATTAAGAATGAACTACATAATAATTTTATCTAAATTAAAAAAAAATCCAGTAATAAAATGTCATAAAATATTATTATTATTATTATTATGAAGTCAACATTGCTCAAATTATATGGAGTATATGAAACGAAATTTGCCTCCCCAAAAATCAGTGACAAAGGAATATTTAATAACATAATTTTTTGGGGTACACGATTTCTTTGCTTAAAACACAATCTAATCATGATAAAATATATGATTGTCAAAACATCAAAAATTGGTTGTTAAAAATTCCATTTAAAAAAAATATTTTTTATTAAATAAATAATATTTAATTTAAAAAAATTAATTGATCTAACTATTTTGATGAGGAATTCCTGATTAAATTAGGGCAAACACTATCATTGCATGCATTTTAATTTTCATTATCTCGTTTAAGTTTTCCTTATAAAGTGTTCTGGTAATTGCGTCTATTATATATAAATTAAAATATAAATTTTTAATTTTTAAAGGTGAATACACTTTTATATATGAATTTTATATATAAAATACTTTGACAGAAAAAAATTAACTTATTGAAAGTTATTGTGTTTTTTACCACCTTTTATTTATGATTACTATTTGAATGTTGTATAATTGACACATATTCTTACAAGAGAGATTAAATTTATAAAATATAATATTTTACTTAACTAATACGATAGTTTTTGTTTTATTATTATTATTATTATTTCTTTTATTTGTACACTCATTTTATTTTATTTTCATCTATTTTTCCTATTTTTATAATGTGTGGTATTATTGTAATTTATTTTCTTATAATTCAAGAAACTGTGTGAGAGATCCGTCCTAGTGCAATGAAACTGGGGTTCTGATTGAAGATTTTTTTTTCTTTATTTTTTTAATTTCCCTTGTTGATATTATTTTTATAATTAGAAAAGGAAGAGTCTAAGTTAATCATGATTTGACTGATCACACCTTAATTTCGTCATAAACAAAATATCTAATTAATTTTGTTGCTTTGAAGAGAAACAATTTAACTTTGTTAGCACATGACATTCAAAAGTAATTATTTGACCTTAATAAATCAAATTCACCTTTCTTGTCGTAACCTTCTTATTGGTAACTTTTTTTTTTTTAGTTTTAATGCGAAAAATCACTAGTTTTTTTTACCGTATTTGTATATGTTTTTCAGAAAATAGAATCGGTTAAGAAATTCAATTTTTAAATATATTGAGAAAATTTGAGTGATTTCTAGATATAAAAAATATTTCTTATTTACATTTAATTTTTTTTCATTAGCAAAATATTATTCTAGCAACAAATATTCGAGCTTCAACAAGAAATAGATCTAAATAAAACTGTACAAAAATATACACTAATTGAAAATTAAGAGTTTTTAAAATAAGTTATAACCAAAATAATATTAATGGTTCTTTAATTTTATTTCGTCATCTTATATCTAAATTTAAGATCAATATTTAACTTTCTTATAGCTTTTCTTTTAGCCAAATTTTCTTTCTTTTGTTAGAGTCAGTAATATTATAAAACCATTAAACCTAATTAGAAAACACCTAAAATCAAAATTTAAACTCACAAAGATCGTTTCTCAATAACCCTACATGGTTATATATGTTGAAATAATAAAATAGAAATTAATTAAAATGGGATGATTTAAAAACAAAAAAAATAAAAGGTGAAAAACACAAACGGCTGAAAATAGAGAAAACAAGATTCTGTTGTAGTAAAAATAACGAGAATTTGAAAGATAAGGACATGATTGAAGATTTTCTTAAGAAAATAAAATAAAATCTCAAAAATTTAGCTCCTATAAAAAGTTCAAAGTTAGTCCATATTATATTTTATTAATCTTAGACATCTCTTTAAACATAATATTATACATAATTAGAATATATGTTTTTACGTATCACTTGATTTGTCCCAATTTATTTTTCTTAATCTAATTAAATTTTATTTGAGTTGAGTTAATCTAATTTGATTTAGTTTAATTTAATTTAAAATAATTTCACTTCATTTAATTCAAAATAAGTTTATATATTATTTAACATAAATTAACTTGTCTTTTGTTCTAAAACAATTTAACTTGATTTAATATGACTTAACTTAATATGGTCTGATCGACTCTATTCATTTAAACTACTTTAATTAAATCTCACTTATATTTCTTAAAATAAATATTTAACTAAATAATTTTTTTTATATTTTTTATTTCATTCCACTACTATTTTTATTATTAATTTAGTTCTTTTTTTCATTAAAATGAGTCATTATTATCCCTTTTATTACACTACTACACTGTTTAACATAAAAGATTACTATGGAAGTAGACTATATTTATTTATAATGTCACATGTTAATTTGATATTGATATCACTCAAAATTTTGATATTTTGACAATTCAATTTTCTTAAACATCCATTCAATAAGTTATTTTTATATTTTTATTTATGTATTTTAATTTATTTTTTCTATCAATCAATAAAAAGTAATATTTTAGATAACTAAAAAAATAATATTTTAGAGTTATCTATGAAATGTTTGAAAAAAATTGAGTGCAAACCAATTTTTTCTCTTATCTCAATTTATCTATTATGTTATTAATAAGTAAATTTCAATAAAAGGGACTCCAAATCGATAATATAAATAATTGTGAAACAAAATAAACTAAGAAGTAAAAAATAACTGTAAAAAAAAAGTTATTCAGCTATTTTTTTTTTCGTAATTCTCATTTTTAAAATATACTTTTTTACTTAAAATATATCGATCAATGGGCTACCCATCAGACTTTGTGGGCATTTTAACCTTACGAACTTTTTCTTAGGTGGGCATTTTAGCCACTGGGCTTGACTCACGTTTCAGAGAAGTTCCATAGTCTAGACCAAATGGATAGGAGCTTTTGCTTCTTCCATCCCATAATTTTTCTTTTTATACTTATAATTAAATTAAACCTCATTTTATCTTTATATTTTTTTTATTTTTATTTTTAGAATGTATTTTAATCTCTCCTTCCCAAAAATATATTTCAAAATATCCAATTTAAAATACATTTTCAAATTTACCTCTCCAATAACATATTCTAGAACACTCAATCCGAAAACACATTTTGGATTGAGTGTTTTAGAATTCAAACTCATTTTTGCGACACTGTTTAAGATTGAGAAATTTTGGTTTGTTTGTGTAATTCAAGTGCATGAACATATAATTTATATATAATATTAACTATTACTTACATTTAATTGTAAGAAAATGTTTTTAATGGAGGTGATAGAAAAAAAAAATCAAATAATCAAGAGGTGAAGGTGTGGAGGGATGAAAGTACAGAAATTGTACATAGAATATTTTAGATATTTGACTTCAGATACGGAAGTCTAAGGAGAAATTATGGCGGTGCAAGAAGAAAGAGTCATTGATACGTAATCTAAACCAAATTAAATGGGCTTTGAACATACAAAAAATATCTTAGTTAAAATTAACAAAAATTATATTGACCAAACAATTGTTTAGGATAGACCTTGATTTTAGATTTTTAAACTAAAAACAAAATCCAATTTAAAATGAAGCATTAAAATAGAGTTAAAATAGAGTTAAAATGAGTTGAAATTAAGTAATTATAGGTTAGTTTGAATATTTTTGCTTGTCCTAAAAGTAGATTATGATCTGACTTATATATTTTGGTCAACACAATGAATGACATTGAAGTTGTTGAGTTGTGTATGTGCTGCCATCATCTGCTTGTTATAAACTTACCACCAATTATAATATAACCAAAATCAATCCAAATTTCTGAATATTAATGTGAAAATGAACTTACATTTTAATAGGTAGAGAATGTATCTTGACTCTTGAATAACTTTTATCATAATGACATGCAAATGAAGAGAAGAGACAATATTAAAGCCCATTAAATCTTGTTTATGAAGGAGATCCTGAACTTTTATTAATCATGTGAAGAGAAAATATACATTCAATCCATAGAGAGAGGGTCATCATCATAAGTGAGAGATAGGATTCTGTAATGGGGGAATGTTTCGTAGGTTGGTCCAGAAACATTATAATGTGATGTGATATACTGAAATTCTTTCAAGACAGTTTCGTGAACATAAGAAAAAAAAAAAACAAGAGTGTCGAGCCACATAAATTCATGTCTTTAGCTTCTTTTATGTCTTTATTGTTCTTCCATTCTTGACGTAATTGAATCATTTTTCAATTACTAATAATTTTTCCTTTTCCAAAAAGATAAACATTTTGTTAAACAATTCTGGTGAGTCAATAATCAACATCTCATTTAAATTTATTAAGTTTTGAAACTTTTCCGAAAATTTGAGTTTAACAAAGATAGAGATAGTTATGTTTTTCCATCCTATCTTTTTGTTTTGTTTTTTTTTGGAGTAAATTCATTGGAGTAACTTTTAGAAAATATATTTCTAACAAATATAGAAATATTATAACATTCATAACAAAGAAAACAAGAAGTGAGACAATTACTTTGTATCCCAATTTAGATTTGTTAACTACAAATGAAAGGGGACAGCATGGTAAACCACTGAAAAAAAATGGTTATTATATGTACAGGAAACCCTAGATTAGGGTTTGATGAAGAACCAACCCTAGGATTAGGATTATAGACTAGGATTGTAGTAGGGTTAGAGGGTTGTTTTGGCCCAGTGGTGAGGCTTGAAAACGCAATGGAATATTTGGTGCTGGACTTCTCAGGCCATACTTGTTAGCACCACCATGGTTGGAGGGACCTACATGAATTCTTCCAAGTGAGGTTGTGGGGATGGAAGGTGGGGAAACCGAGGTTGAGGGAGCAGAAAACATGTCAACATCATCATCAGCCAACAAAGACTGCAACTCACAAACCACTTCACTCATAAGGGGTCTTGCTTTTGGATCATGGCGAAGACAGTGAATGGCCAACTTCATTGCCCTATAGGCTTGTCTCATTGGATATTGGCCTCTAAATCTAGGATCCATTACATAACGAAAATTTTCTTTGTTCCTAATACGAGGCCGCAACCAATCTACCAAGTTTTTCTCTTTTGCAGGCCTCACTTGATCCACTGCTCTTCTTCCTGTCAACATTTCAAGGAGAACCATCCCAAAGCTATAAACATCACTCTTGGAAGTAAGGTGTCCTGTGTCAACAACATGTTCAGTGTTAACCACCAAAGGGTAGAAACTTGCACCATGTATGCAACGTTGAACCTTAAACTATGCATTGCTTCCATGTGTATTATGTCATAAATGAAAAACTATGATAAGAAATCACTGATAAGATGTTTGGGAATATACTAACCTGTCATCACATACTCAGGAGCTATATAGCCTTCGGTTCCCATTACCTCAGTGGACACATGTTTTTTATGTCCCACCGGTGCATCTTTTGCAAGCCCAAAGTCTGAAAGTTTTGCGTTGAAGTCCTGAAATGCAATCATATTAAGATCTTGATAAATATGTGTATATATATATATAAGCAATGAAATGTTCATAATGTTATAACCTTATCCAATAGTATGTTGGATGTTTTGAAATCTCTGAATATTACTGCTGGTGAAGCTTCCTGGTGTAAAAATGCCAAACCATTAGCAGCATCCATTGCAATTTTCATCCTCATAGACCATGGGAGTTGCATAGTCCAATGTCCTCCTGATACATGAGAAAATTACTTGTTAATTCTATTTTAATTCTCTAGCATATTCAAATATCAAATATAAGGTAAGATTGATCTCATTTTGTTAATGAAATGAGGATAATAAAATAAGGTAAATGTTGTAGATATTAAATCAAACACATACTCAACCCCCAATTGTATTACAATTATTATATTGATCAATATGATTAGAATAACAAGCATCTTCCCCATTATATTCAAAAATACATACTTTGGAACAGATACTTCTCTAGGCTTCCTCGACTCATGAACTCGTATGCGAGAACCCTTTTATCATCTTCAATGCAATAGCCCACCAATCTTACTAGATTAGGATGATGAAGTTCACCCAGATATTTAATTTCAGCCTGCAAAACACAAGACAGTGAAAAGATTCAATCTTTTGATATGAACTCACAGTAAGAAATGTAAACCATGACACTGAGTTTCAAACTAAAATGAGCATATTATACACAACAGCTTCTCTAGTACCTTGTGATTGTGCACATTATACTTGTCTTCTTTAACATTTACAGTAACTCCTTAGAAGATACACATTGTAATATTTTTGTTTTGAATGAGAGTATCAAATCAATGTAATATGTTTAAATCAATAGAAAGGGGTTAGAAAAACAATAATATATCATGTTAAATATGAAGAAATCACAGCAAGTTTACTTAATAAAAATAGTGAAAATTGAATAAAATGACAAGTTATAAAGAAATGTATATATTCAGGGTTTAGATGGAGACATACAAGCCATTGTTTATGACCTTGAAGTCCATTCGGGTTGAGAGTCTTCACTGCTACTGGAATACTTGTTCCAGTTGCATCATCAACCCAACCTTTGAACACAGTTCCAAAACCTCCCCTACCAAGAAAATTCCTAGAATCAAAGTTCTTTGTTGCCAGCTGAATATCGTGAAAAGTGAACCTTCTTAGATGGGAAGAAGTTGCAATAAATTCCTGGCTTTCGTTGGGGGATGAGGATCTTTTTGACCTTTTTTTCTTAACACCACCTTTTCTGACATTTCTTCCTGTTCATTACAGGGAAAAGTATTAAGAAAAATTAATCTACAACATAAAATTGTACATGAATTAGTCACATTAATGAAGTCTAATTTAATTTGGTAGTAACAGAACCATATAGTATCTATGTAGATTGAATTCAACTTATTTTAAGAAAGGAATCGACCTTTTGTTTTTGGTTTATGATTGACCAATTAATGTAGATTTTGATTTAAGGTAAATGGAAATAAGAAAATAGAAGAACCAGAAGGAGAAATCCAAAAAGAAAATGGCACATGAAAAAAAAAATTGTGGATTTTGAGTGTCGGAGAGAGAAGCTAAAACACAAACAATAATTGCCATAGATAACATAATAATGTAATAAGAAGATAAATATTAGAAAAAGATCAACTCTGAGAAGAATGGTTCAACAAGTTACAACATATCTTAACCTTGTTTGTTTTTGTCACTGGAGGATCCTTCCCCTTTTGAACTGAAAACCATGCAACCTAGAAAAAACCTCAATTTCTGCCAAAATGTTGAGCCTTCTTCAGTACTACCTTGACCAACCACACCTTTGGTTTTCCGCTCTCCATTTGAACTACCAGCACTCATGGAACCACCCTTAACACCACCAATGCTCCCCATTTTTCAGTTCAGACCCCTATAAAAGTTGACACACACAAAAAATTAGCACAAAACATTCTTAAATATGACACAAGAAAGAAGAGAAATGCTGTTTTTTTTTTTGTTTTTTTTTATGAACAAAAGGAAACCTTCGATAGAAATGCTTGTGTCAAACGCTGTTGTAATGCTTCTTTTTTTATGAGATGTGCAACAAAGAAGAGGAAGAAGTGTTTTTATAGAGCCCGTGTTTAACAATCGGTGTTTAAATATTTAATATAAGTCAATGTGTTCACATTTATTATTCTTAATAATAATAATAATTATAATTATTAATAATAATAAATAAATAAATAAATGATAAAGTGATGAATTTAATGTTATTTCAATGTCATTTAGTATTTTTTTCCTTAATGAAGAGATAACTTTTATTTTTTTATACACATTGTCCATAAGTGTTTCAAGTTGTCTCATACTAGTTTGATTCGGTTAGGAATTAAGTAAAGTTTATTAAGAATTATTTTTGTGAAGGATCAAACTTAGATAATACCCAAATAATTTTAGGAAAACAACTTGTTTAAGTGATTATGAATAATACTCTTTCTATCTTAAAATAACCGTGTTTTTTTTTTTTTAATAAACTCAAATTGATTGGTATTTTCAAATTTTAATGATTTTTTTATATGTCTAGTTTGGTTAGTGTTTTCAAATTGATTGCGTTTTCAAATTCAAATATTTTAATGTTTTCGTAGTAGAAAAATTTACTGAGAAAGTGATAAAGTTATTTTAGTAATAAATTTTTTAATGAAACATTTATTGTTATTTTTTAATGTGGATGAAAAAACTTAAATACCAGTCATTATGAGATAGGGAGAATAATAAATTATGTGTAATATTAATTGTTCTTATTTAATATGTTGAAGGGTAAAAATGACAATGTCAAACTTTCTAATATATTATTTCAAAAACAACATTTTTTTATTGAATAAAATTTATTACATATTACAAAATAATAACAAGTTAAAATGTGCTAAAAAAATGGGTTCAAAAATAGAAAAAATATAATAACAAGTTCATCACAACTATAAAAGCTCAAGAAAACTAAACCAGCAAAGTTAATGAATGATTGTACTGATTCAGAATTGTATAAGCAGCAAAATTATTATTAATTTATTCAAGATCTTATTATGAATGGTTACAAATTTTAGGAAAAGTGTTTTAAAATAAAAACATTTGCTTACAAATTTTAATTATAAATATGTTTTAAAAAATATATTTTTACTTCTTTTAAAAGGACATTATATTTTTCAAATTATAAATGACTAAACTCAAATTATGTGAATAAGGTATAAGACTAATTTTATGATTTAGCCCATAATTTTTTAAAAGCGAATTATTATTGTAAAATCAAAGTACATGACGTGATTAAGTAACCATGTAAAATACTTTTGCTTATTTTCCGTATTATTTATTTTGTCATAAATGTAGCAATAAATTTAAATAAATTATTTCAAGGAAAAAATTACAAACAATTAATAAAAAATTATTTTTTAAATCACAATAACTTTTTGTATTAACTTTTTTTATAATTATAATCATACATGTGATAAAAATTAATTTTATATTATAATAGATAATATAAAAAACATTAATAAAAAATTATTTTTTAAATCACAATAACTTTTTTTATTAACTTTTTTTATAATTATAATTATACATGTGATAAAAAGTAATTTTATATTATAATATATAATATAAAAAAACATTTATGAAAAGGAAATCACCTTTATATAATAAAAAAAATTATTATAATGAATGATTTTACACAATTCATAAGCTTTTTAAGTGGTGTAGAAAAAAATATTATATATATATATATATATATATATATATATATATTTGGACCATATTATTTTTTATTACAACAAGATCTAATATAAATTAGTCGTGATAATATTGTTGATTCTCATCCATAAATAATAAGTTAGGAACTCATTTTTCATAAATCGCAAATTAAAATACATACACAAAAATACACAGTACACAATATACATAACTCAGTATATATTTTCACACTACTTTTACCTCCTTTCGTATAATATTGTATTTGCCTAAAAAATTTGCAATATTTACATCTCTCAATGAAAATTAACATTATACTAGAGATAGCAAAACGGGTCAAGCCCGACGAGCAGTCTTGCCAGCCCGCCAATATGACGGGCGGATTGGTGTTTTCAGCTCACCAGTCCGCTTTGGTCCACCCTACTAAGCTCGCCAACCCGTGGGACGGAGCGGGTCAGCCCGCGCCCGTCTAATTAATAAAAAATAATTTTTTATTATAATAAAAATTAATTATAAAGATAATATATAAAGTTAAAAATTTTAAAAAGAGAATTAAAAAATTTTCACTTTCACATAAAATATTTTCCTTATCGAAACCCAACCTTCTCTCCTGTTCTCCTTGTTCATCTTAAACACTCGATTATTTTTATTCTTATGACTTAAATTAAAGGTGTAAGAATTATTCAACCAAAAATAATGTGAAGTTTTATCAAATAAAAAAGATATAGGTATTTTAATTTTTCAATATAAAAAATATAAATTTTATAAGTTTTAACGTTATATATATATATATATATATTTGTTATTATTTATTATTATGTAAATTTTATTATTGTTCTAAATTATAATTTCTTAAAATAATATATTGATTTATATTATTAAATTGAAATAATATATATATATATATATAAAATTATTGACAAACAAATAATAATCTTATTATTATATTTATTAAAAAAAATTATTTTAAAAAATAAATTATTTTTTTCTAAATTATGGCAGGTCAGCCTCCAACCCGCCCTATGGCGTGGCTAAGGTCTACAGACCGTCATGACTATATCGAGTCGATCAGTCACTACCGCTTTGGCGGACCAAAGGCGGGCGGGCCAAAACGGGCGAGCTGATCCGTTTTGTCATCCCTACATTATACTAATTATACACTATATTTATTTATTACTTTAAAAATAATTATTATAATTAATGTGTGTTTACTCAATGATATATTATTGTTGACAAGATTTTTATCATAAAAAGATGAAACTAGAAACAATACACATGTAATAATTTAATTCAATCAAAAACTTGAATTTATTAATTTAATTTTAAGAATATGAATAATTAATGGATATCTTGATTTATTTACAATCTTTAAATGTATTTGGAGATTAAAAGCAAAGATAAATAATTTAATAGATGTAATAAATAACAAAATTGAAAAAGAAAATGTAATTTTATATATAAGAAAAGTGTAAAAAGATAATAAGTTCAAGATTAAATTATGTTTATTTGTGTGGGAGAGATCAATTTTTGTATAAAATTCATTGTTAATTAAAAAAAATATCTACGTAATTAAATTTAAACTGTACAATGGTAAACTATTTGATAATTTCTAATTACTTCATTAAACTAAAAACAATTGTAAAATTCAGCTCTTGATCTTGTAAAAAGTTTTGAATTAGGTTCGAACCGTAAAAAAATTCAATCCATGATAGATTTCAAATCTTTAGGGACACAATTTTCTTTACAAGTATCCAATGATATTTTTTTATGTTAAGGGACATAATTAAAAAAATTCAAATAGTTCATAAAACTATTGATTATCTTATAAGCAAAATTTAAATTAATAAATCTTAACTTTAATATAATAAGATGTGTCAAATACTTAACAATACATATTTAAACAACCTAAATCAAAATACAAAACAGAGAAACAAATATTCATATGTTAATATATATATATATATATATATATATATATATATATATATATATATATATATTATAGGAATATAGTCACACGTGTAAGGGTTATGAAATGATGAAAGTGTTGAATGTTGACCAAAGAATATTGGAATGAACAAAATTAAATTTCATTAAAAAAATACATGTGTTAATGTTATAATATTGACCACGTATTTTTTAAAATATTTAAGTACTTAGAATGATTGATAATTAGTTATATATATAAATAAACACCCGGTCAATGATAATTATAATCAGTTACTATACTAATTAAGTGATTAGTTTTTATTATTAATTTAGAGATATATCCTCAAACCCTGGGAATTATGAACCCTTTGCAGAATTACAAAATGATGAACACAAAAACTGAGAATGTTATTGCAGTGGTTAACAAAGTTATCTGCATATTGCAGACAACAAGTGATTATCACAATGAAAATGTGTGAATGTTTGCATCAGCAATGGTTCTATCATTTCCCAAAGCAGTTCAGTGTTGTTTCATTCCATTCCATAGCCAAGTAATGTTACTCTGTGTCTGATTTTTGACATTGTTTTAGAACTGTTTTTCATGCATCCAATATTTCCTATATTTTTCGTTTAATGCAGTTTCGAATTCTCTTTGTTGTGAGAAAAACAATGGGAAATGAACAATGATTTATAGCAACTCATGCACCATTTTTAACCACTGAGTTATGTATCTTAATTTGTTGTTGTAGTTTTGACTATGCTTCATTTTTTAATCTTCATGAACTGTTTAACATTATTTTTAATAATTTCTCCACAAACTATTTTTTTTAATGTTATATGCTATGAATTTATTGATGTCCGTAATAAAAAATTATATGATTAGTGATCTCTAATTAGTTAATTTTATATAAAGCTAATTTTTTTCTATCTAATGCTTATCAAACTTAATTAAGAATTGAAATTATTTGAAATAAATTTATGGCGTATACTTGAAAATGGTCTCATTTCATGATTTTTAGTGAGATAAATGTAAGTTTTTATTATATAAATGTTCTTTGAGTTCAAAACCTTTCTGTACTTAAGCTCGGGAATCATATCCTCTCCTTCAATTTATCTCTAAAAAATTATTGTTGAAAATTATTAATATATATGATAATTACTTTACAAATTATATTTATGATACTTTTTTAATTAATTGACCATAGAAAAACATTTATATATTCAAATCAAACTCTCATGTATTTATTATATAAATGTTTAAATTATTTATATAAATTAACTCTAAACTAATACTTTTATGTGTTCAAAAATCAAAATTTATTTAATTGGTTCTTAAAATTTTTTAAGCGTTAATATGTTTTTTCTTTATTGACTGTTTTAATTGCCTTCATTTATACACATATTTTTCATAATTTTTAATTATAAAAAAATAATTTGATAAACCACTTTAAATAATAATAATAATAATAATAATAAAAATAAAAATACTAGACAATCCCAAAATGAAAGAAAAAAATGTAAAATATTAATACTTATTATATCGATATATAGAAGAGATTGTTAAATAATATATATATTGAATTGTGTATATTTCATTACTCTTAATGATATTAGTTGGTGTAATAGTAAATACACTTTGCACTCGCACCATCTTTTAAATGAAAAAAAATCATGTTTTTATATATAATTTTGTGAGAAAACACTTCAAAGGCATTAACCATGATAAAAAATAAGATGGTTATGAAATTTGATCGAATTGAGTAATCCGTTAAAGTAAGAAATAGTAGCTTAAAGTCATTGAATCGATAAAAAGTTCGAAAAAACATAACATAGAAAAATTTAAATCGGTTGGATTAATGATTCAAACATTTTTTTTATTTTAAATAACTTTTTTCTAAAATAATTTTCAAGAAAACAATATTTGTAAAATTTGGTTGTTTTTTGTCTCGTACAATGATCTTAAATTTTCATCTCAATTTCAGGTTATCATTTTCACTTTTATTACATTTTGTATATATGATATTCATTATATTATAGTAATAATGGTCTTTATTACAATCTTAGTTTTTTTTTCTTTTTATAAAAAAATATAATTACTTATATAAGTATTTTATGTTTTTTAATATATTAAAATATATAAAAAATTATTCTATCGAAATATTTAAACTCTAAACTTATATTTTTATCAATTTTTTTAAAACATAATTTTATCTTATTAGATTGGTTGACTTTCATGATAAAAATAAAATTATACAAATGGACCCCATAAATAGTCTCTCAGAAATAAATTTCATCTTAATATTTATTTATTTAATTTATTATTATTATTTAAAAAAGTACTCACATTGACCCACATAAAATATTCAAACACTTATACTTCAACAAGCACATTGATGTTCACAGTCTATTCACACTAAGATCAATTGACACAAAACAAGGTTTCAAAGTGTGTTTCTACCATTTCCCATTTTTGTTTTCATCTTTAAGGGTTTTGTGCTGAAATTTGTGTATGTTGAATATTTAGGGGTTTGAACTGAAAATATGGAAAGCATTAGAGTTGGCACTTCAATTGGGGGCAAATCCAAGGGAGGGAGAACCATCAAAGATGCTGTTCAAGGTTCTACCGAGGAAGGTTCAAGATTTTGGAAGAAATTGAGAATTTTTATAGGTTGCATGTTTTGGAGTTCCAAAGGGGAAGATTCCTCAAACAAAATCAATCAAGGTCCACCATTCTTCTTAGAAATCACTTCTTTCTTGTTTCATTTTTTTTCTTTTAATTAAACATTTATATTGAGTTATTTAATTCGTATATGGCATGAATAAAAAATTGAATGACTTCAAACTTCTTCTTTTTTCATAGGAGTTTTTTAACAATTTATTATGAGAGGAAAAGGAGATATTCTATTTCATGTTCTATACTCTCTCTTTTTTATAATGTTGTAAAAAATGGTAGAGTTGTATCTTACATGAATATATATATTTTTAGTTTTGCTAAAAATTATAAGTAATTATAAGAACACTCAATTAACTCCACATATTTTCTCTCTTTTTTTCAAATCATATCATTTATCAATATTCACAGATATCTTTTTCTATAGGTGTTAATATGCATTGGGTTACACCACTTTTTGTTCTAAAAAGATATAGAAACTTCAAAAACCCAACTAAAAAAAAACAATTCTTTTCTTAAAATAAGATGAACAAAATCTACATGCATACTAATGTTCACAAAATTACAGTGAAATAAAATTGCATGTCCATAGGAGATTTATAAATGTATCTAATTCATATATATTTTTTATTAAATTTGTTTTGATATATTTTCACCCATATCAACAGGAAAAAATGTTGTTGCCAATGATATTGAAAGTTACCAACCAAACACTTCAAGATCCTCATCCAACATAAGGTTAAGTAGTCATGCAAGATCATGGAATGAAGAATTATTTGTAGCTTCTTTGCTTCTTCGGAGATTCACCTTTCATGATCTTATGTTGGCAACCGAAGTTTTAAGGTTGAGAATTTTTTTGATGATGAGGGATTCGGAATTTTGTTGAAAGGTTGGATTAATCCAAATGGAAACTATGCAGCAAGACCTGGAACAGGGATTCCAATTGCAGTCAAAGCTTTTAACTTCAATGAATTTCAAGATCACAAAAATTGGCTTGTATGTGACCATGCTAACCCTAACTATATTTCTTTATTTGTTATTTATTTATTTAATTTGCACCACTTTTTATTAAGTAAATTACATTTATATGTCTTGTGATTTCTTCAAACCGCACATATAATTTTGTCTTTCTATCATATTAACTCTTTTCAATAGTTTTAATGGGTATTATGAGAGAATAACATTACTAAGATATTCATAATTCGTTTTCCATATCATTTAGCATGAAATGAGTCCCTTATTATTATTTTTTATAAATTGTGTAAAATCTCATAAAAAATTCGTAGAAAAAGTCACACAAAATATGAAAAAGTTGTATAATAGTGTTACATTAATGTTTAAAAGGACAAAGAGTAACATGTGTAATCTTAATATAGAAAGTGTTGGGATTTGATTTTCCATTTTTATTTATACAAAATCTTATAAATTACATCATTATTGTTTATTAAAAAATGAAATATTTTGATTGTTTGGTGTATTTACAGGATGAAATTAGTTATTTGGGTGAACTCAATCATCTGAATCTGCTTAAAATAATAGGCTTTTGCATCGAGGATGACAAAAGACTACTAGTACATGAGTATAAGTCTCAAGGAAACTTAGAGAAGCATCTATTCAACAAGTATGTCCTAATTATCAAATAATTCATTGTTTTAGTTAGTTTTTCAGTAATTTTATGTATTGCAATTTGTATTTCATTTTTTCTTTTCAGTCTTTATTTTTTAAACTCTTTTATTACTTTACTGTTTAGTTTGAAAAAAAACTCGTATTTCTGCAATTAAAAATGAAAATAACTAAATATTTTCAATTTTACAATGGAAATAATTTATAATAGTTTCAATCTTATGAGAATTATATTATTACTAATTTTTTTTATAGTTAAAAATTAAATATATATTGATTATTGAATGATTCATATGTTATTTTTTTTATTAAGATTCAATCTTTTCAACGTATACAATAAAGTTATATTCTCTCGTAGCTTAGTCATTTGCATATTTTATTTCAGGTTATATGATATGATTTAAATATTTATTAGATTATTTCACGTATTATTAATTGATTTTATATTAGAACATTAATCTAGTATTAAAGATAAAACTTAACTTTTTATTATTATTATTATTGTCTTAGATTAAGAATTATTCTTTTCATTGTAGATCAAAAGTATCATTTAATTAGTCTAACCTCGCTTCAATGGAGGAATCACATTAAAAGTCTCAAGTCACTTATTTTGAATATTTGTTATGTTATTTTACATATTATCAACTAATTTTAAATTGGAACCTTAACTACTATTATAAAACATGGATTAGATTTGTATCAAAAAGTCATTTTTCTCTTCTACAATGCTTCTTTAAAATACCTTCTTAAGTCATTTAACTATTTTTTTCACAATCTTATTATACATCCATCTTAAACTCTCTGAAATAAAAGAGAATTACTTCCTGTTGGTAACAAACAATAAATATAAATTATTTCATTAATTTCATATTATATCAATTTCTTAGTAAAATTGAAATTTTCTTTCCTTCCATCTCATAAGACGTAGTTATCTATGTTTCTCCTCTTTGTAATTTTATGTACAATCTAAGTTAGAAAATGATTATTTTCCTCAAATCAAATGTAAATTTATTTCTAAGACTTGCACTAATTTTAATGTGAAAGATGTTTTGCTATTGTAATTATATATATATATATATATATATATATATATATATATAATAAGATTGTAATGAAATCGAGATTGAACTATAAATGTTTATTAAATTTCTACCATATAGTACTTATTGAATGAAAAATAAGAACAATCTCATTTTGATTCATCTTTATGATAATATAACTTTTACTTTTAATCTGATTTTGGGTACATTTTCAACTTGTTTTTTACATGTTAGAGCTATAGAATTACTTAAATTAACAAGTTATATTGTCATGAATGAACAGAAACTCTTACACTTACATGGTCTATGAGGATGAAAATTGCAATTTCTATTGCTAATGGCCTTGCATTTTTACATGAAGAAGCTTCAAAACCATTAATACTCCATGATTTTAAGACATCTAAGGTTCTATTGGATAGGGTAATATCTTAATTTTATTAATATAATATATATATACATCTTTACCTGCCTTTTAATATAATTTTATTTCAGGATGGTAACGCAAAACTTTGGGATTTTGTTCTTGTGAGAGAAATTCATGTGACATCTAAAGTAGTACAAACAAAAGGCTATGAAGCCCCTGAGTTCATTATGACAGGTTAAATCTTAAACATCTTAATTTGTTAAAAAAATTTATGATCATTGAGTTGAATAGTTTCTATTGTTAGATAATTTAAATGTGAGTTAAGTGCTACATTGAATAATAATGAGAAAGTTAAGTAACATATAATAAGAAAGTATGACTATCATAACTTAATGTCTTAAGATTTTAGTTGAAAGTGATGTCAATATCTTATCTAGATTAGACTCTTGTCTCATCTCGAAGGAATGTATCAATGTGAAGGGACTCTCACTTGAGAGGGAAATTGTTAGGTAATCTAAGTGTGAGTTAAGTCTCACGTTGAGTAAGAATGAGAAAGTTAAACATATAAGGAAGTATATGACTCATAATCTAATGCCTTAAGGTTTTTGGTTGAAAGTGATGTCAATCCTTATATGGATTGGACTCATATCTTATTGGTATATATCTTCTTTGTGAATCTCCTATCGAAAGACCCAACATCTATCTTATACAATACTCATAAATATTACTTTTATTGATTTGTTAATATAATTCATAAACTTAATTTATTGGAAATTGATTGTTAACATTGAGAATATTGTTGAGGCAGGACACATTACTTCCGAGAGCAATGTTTATACCTTTGGGATTGTTCTACTTGAAATGCTAACAGGAAGAAGAGCTTTGGATCAAGGAATGGCAATAGAAGAACAAAACTTGATAGAATGGTTAAGACCTCATCTTAAAAACAAAGCAAGTTTTCATTATTTAATGGATCCTAGACTTGAAGGTCAATACCCAACAAAATGTGCTCATAGGACAATGAGATTAGCTACTCATTGTCTTCGCCAAGACCCAAAAGCAAGACCTGTTATGAGTGAAGTAGTTTATAAATTGAAGTATTTGCATGATGACATGGTTCATGAGCTTGGTCCTTCCAACCATTGTAGTGTTAATAAGTATGGTCTTGGAATAGGTTCATCACCAAATGTTTTAAGGTGCTTTCAAGCCTCGCCACAGTGTCAATATTATCCTCTACCTCTACCACCAAATCCTAATGTTGGATCTTCATACAAATTCTAAGGTTTAAGATCTCATTCAACTCTTGTGCTAGGTTTCTTGTGAACATAACTAATATATATTTTCTTTTTATTAATTTAGTGAAATTACCTTGTTGTATTTTGTTGTGGTTAACAATTGAAAGAGCAACAACAATTTAAAAGTACAAAGTAAATGAGTGGGGTAAATTGTTATTAACATTGATCTTCTAGATTATGAATATTATAATATTTATAGTATTTATTTTAAAAATATCTATTTATCCTTGAAAAAACGATAAAAAGTGAAAGAAGGGATGAAAAACATTCCTCAATTATTTCTAATATTTATTATTTAAAAAAATCTTGTTTTGTAACATTTTTAAATAAATTTAAATGACTAGTTAATTGATTGTTGACTTTCATGGAATTATTTACAAAACTTTTTTTTAAAGGCAAATTTACTCGTAAATTGGGGTGCACGCATCCCTTAGCTATCCTAATTACATTCAGAATTGATCCACATAAATTAGTAATGTCAAATTTATAATATTTAGATTTAAGTAATTTAAATAGTTAAATTTAATCTTAGGCTTCACCTTGCTTTTTCTTTAATTTAACAAATCAAACCCAGATAATGCATCTCAACTTTTACCTTTGGATGATTAAATAATGATATTAATAATAAATAATGATGACCATACATCAAAGAAAAATATCATATTTGTAAAAAGAAAAAAAAACATTTTTATATATAAGATGTCTATAAAAAGTAAGGACGTAATAAATTTAATATTTTTGTTTATTAAAACTATTATTTATATATAGATTTATCAATATTTTTTACTTTTTAATAGATTTTAACCAATACGTATAATATGTTTAAAATAATATTTTCTTAACATTTCTCTTTATATGCAATATTTAATACTTATTCTTATTGTTTTTTAATTAAAATACATACTAAATTTGATTTTAATAATTTGTATCCATTGTCAATATTATGTCTCTATTAAGACTAATTTTTTGTTTTTTTAACAGAATAAGGATGAAAGTAGTCTTATAATAACAAAAAGGAACATTTACATTTCTTTATATTTTAATATTTATGTTTAATCAAATTATATAATATTTTGAACAAAGTAAATTTATAACAGGTCCCTTTATAATTTTATATTTGAAAAATATAAATACGTTAATGAATAATAATATATAGGAAAATATAGGAACAGTTGTAGGTGTGCTTAATAGGAGACAGTGAGAACATTGAATGTTGACCAATTAATTATACATGGAAGATTAACTATTGATTTTATTAAAAAAAAAATACATGATCATATGTTATAATTTTGACCACATTTATTTATAATATTAAAAAGTATTGATAAATTATAAATATAAATAAAGAACCTGTCTGAAATAAATTATAATTTATTACTATTGAAAATTATGTGATAAATAAAGACATTGGTGTTTTAATATCCAATATTTCATTAATTATAATCATATGCATTAATGATGAAAATAAAAATAATTATTAATAAAGGTAAATTTGATACATTGGTAAAAAAAAATACAGAACCTTAAACAAAAAAGAGCCATGAGAAATAACAAAGCCCAATATCCCACTCCTTAACTATTGGGCCTGGGCTTACGGACCTGTCACGGTCCAATATCATTGAACATATGAGTTGTTTATACGGAATCGGAGAAATTTGAAACAGTAAAAAAAATTATATATATAATACATTCACTTTAAGAATTAAATATTTATTCTTCATATTTATTATTATTTTTAACAATCTAATTATCTAAAATAATGGCTTATTTCAATTATTAGAATAAAATAAACTAAAAGATAAAAGATGAAAATAAATTATAATTCCTACTCTTAAAGTAAGTTATCTTATCTATATACATATATATTATTAATTTGATGTGAAATTTGAGATATAAAAAAGACAGCACAAAATATAAAAATATGAATGACAAGTCTCTTAGGTATACTATACACTACTCCCTATAAAAAAAAAAGTGGTTCCACTTAAAAATGAAGTTCAGTGACCATGCATAGAAAGTAAGGTCAAAAGATGCATTCTACTTTTTTTCAATGAAAAGAAAAAAAATACCATTTCTCAATGTTTCAGAAATTCTAAGCATCAACAGTGTACGAATTGCTCCATTATTATTTTAACCATGCACTCGTCTCTATCTCTTATTATAAGACTTTTGTAACAAATAGAAGCTTTTATTTGCATATAAAAAAAATATTGATAGGTTGACGTATTAATCCATTAATCTACTTCTGATGAGGTGGACTAAAACGTGTAACCTATTCTCAACCTATCTTATTTTGTATCGATTAAAAATGAGACAGACATGTTTTATCATCCAATAAAAATAGAATAAAAATGTTACATATAAAAAAATTAATTAACATATATAAAATAAAATTCTAGTTGATATTTTGAACGAAAATTAATTATATCAAAATTGATATTAAATATACAGATATCTCTATTAAAAAAATAGAATTTTTTTATGAAAAGTATTTAGAATTGATGGTTGGTATTAGCAAAGCCAAACATGCTTTAGGAAAGAGAAATCTCACCAATAATTAATGATAATGAAAAGATTTACTAAATACGATGGAGTTGACCGATCTCATAATCATGTGTGTTTTAATCTTCAATCAATAAGAAAACATTAACACTTTATTTTTGGAATATCTTCTATGATACTGTTAACACTACTTGTCATATTAATATAAACACTTTAATGTATAGCTTTTATTTTATATACAACTCCCACTACCACTTCCATGAAACCATGAACACATTGCTTTCGAGCAAAAGATGAAAAAAACCATTACTATTTCCTTAAACATAATTTTTTTTTTAAATTATTAAGTATACATAAAATTATTTTGCTGCATGTTTTCAATCACAGTTTAAATTTAATTTGTACTCACTGCTTGATTTCTTATAAAGCTGAAAATTATCAATTAAAATGATTTTTAATATAATTATTGTAAAAATAATCACCTTACAATATTTAATATTCTTATAAGATATCTATGCATCTGTTACTGTAATTATTTTGTACAGTGTTAGATAACAAAAATTATCATTAAAACTAAATTTAAAATAACTATTATAAAAAAATCATCTTACAATATATACTATATATTCTTCCACCTTAAAACATATATATAAACAACTAATTTCACACTAATTAAAAATCCAGTTAATATTATTTAATTATATACTATTTCGATTGAAGAAAAAAGCATTTTAATTTTTTTTATTAAAAACTTGATATTATGAATTGAAAAAATGTAAAATAAAATCCCTAATTGCTAGATTTCTATAAACAGGAGGACCACTGTGATGATGTCGCACAAGATTAGGATTTTTTGACAACTATCACGGTTGATGGTTGAATTTTTTTTTATATCATACGTTCTTTTTCACTTCTTATTATTTTTTATAACATATTATTTTTTCATTTTCACAATAAAATTAATTATTTTTATATAATTATAAGTATGGATTTGATTTAGGGGTATCTTAATGAGACATATTACATGAAACACGTTAAGCAATAATGATGAATTAATCAATTATATAAAAATTTTAGTTAATGCTCTTACTTTTATCCGTATGTATTGTGTGTATACAAAAGTATAAAAAAAATAATATTGAATTCCCTCTACTTTATTTGAAAAAATATATTATCTTTTTTTATATTGTTTGTAAGATATTATAATTTAGCAAAACTATATGCTATTTTTAGTTTGAATTTTAATTTAATTTAGCAAAATTTTCAATTTGGCTTAAATGGATGTCTATAAATACATATTTTAGGAATAGAAAATAAATAATTTTTTTCCAAAAAAAAAACAACTGAGAAGTAAAATAAAAATTATAGATACATATTGTAGATATATATATGGATAAGAGAGAACTACAGTTTTGGTATGAAAGGAACCGTATATGTAACTATCAACACACATGAGTTCCAACTTCACCTTAATAAATGTGATACGAAAGGAAACAAGAAAATGTCACCAACATGTTTTGGTTTTTCCTGGAAATGCCAGTTCTGCTAGCACTGATCGAAATTAAGGAAGACAGTTCACTAATCTCTAGTACAATGTCTGCTGAATGTTTATTATTGCATGACACACCCACACATGCATGCATTGCTACGACCACATGTCTTGGTGAATGGATGCATCAGAGACGCAACCATTAATGGCCATTGTTGTATATGCTGTCATGGAGTGGTTTTCATTTTCACCATCACTTCACTTCAATGCTTGCAACTTCGTAATGCTCAATTTTCTGCATTTCTTCTTCTTCACATGCTTCATCATCGTTACGCCAATGGCTATCCAAGAATTTATTCAATCTTCTTCCAAAAATTCCTTTCACGGAATCCACGTTGCCCCTACACAAACTTCATACTCTGATATACAAATCACTAAACCTTTTCTTTTAAATTCAGAAAATTTCGAGAAATTTATATAAAGAAAATATTAACTTACTCCAACTACAACTTCAATTAATTGAGTAGAACTTTTTTTTCTCATTTCACTTTATCAATCTAAATTTTAATTAGTATTAATTTTTTAAAATTGAGAGAATTAATTATAGAAAGATAGTAGATTTTAGTTTATGGAAAATAATTTTACTCCATACATATAAACTTCCCAAAAGGGATATTTTGTAACTTAAGCAAAAATTAGGAAGCAAAATCTTCTTACTTTATTCCATGTCACTTTTGCAGTTATTTACACCCATAAATAATAATAACCACTATTTTAAAAATAAATCGGATAAGTTGAATCGATCTAATAGGGAACTAATATAAAAATTTGTTTATTATTTTTAAATAATTAAATTTTAATTAAATTAAAATAAAATCGGAAAAATTATAACAAAATCAATTAAATTATGAATTAATAGATAAAAAAATTAAAATCAATTTTTTTAATATAATTTTTTTATAAAAATATAATATATTTTAATTTTATTTATTTTATATTAATCAAATCAATTTTAAATAGTAATTATTTTAATATATTTTTATCTTATATTTTAACAATTATTCATCTTATTATTTTAATATATTTTATATTTATAATTTTTATTATAATTTATGATGATTATAAAAATATTTTTTATTATTTTTTTATAAAAATATTATTATTAATAAATTTATATTATATAATAAAAATCTTATTTCATTAAATTTTATTAGATTAAACCTTTGAACCTCATTCCACGGTTGAATAACATAAAAACATTAATAACTTAAAAACATTGATAACAAGAATACATTACTTAGTAACATGTCCTGCATGTATATTTGTTTTGATTAATTAATTGGTAAGTGGTGTATTCAATAATGATCGCAATAGGAGGAGTGTATATTTTTTGAAGCAAGCAAACATGAACTTTTTTGATAGATATCTAAAAGAAACTTAGGATGCAGAGTTGGGAGAGAGAAAGAGATAAGAAGAGAGGGTTTTGCTTTTGGTTGTGCCAGAAGATCACATGGGATCTTCTTTAGGATTCAGATTGAAGTAGTTTCTGTTGTCAGATTAAAATTGCCAAAGTTCTTTGTTTTTTTTTTTTTAAAGCAAGGTATCTTGGCAACAACAAATTATTCTATCACTTAATTAAAGGGATTAATTAGTGTAATATAAAAAACATCAAAATAATATATATTCTTTAAAACAATTAAAGAAGATATAAGTGAATGAATAAAAGAAACAGAAATATTTGTGTAGTTTTACAAAATCTTAGATGATTAATGTAATTTACTAAATTTTTTTCTACATGTTTGCTTAGAAAATCAAATATTTGCCAATGCATTTGAAAACCTAAGCTCTGTGATAAATTACAATTTTTTTTTCAGATTTTTAAAACAGTATTCTTTTATTTATTTATTTTTACAAATTTCACTATTATTTTAAACATATTACTAAAGTTGCAATAACTGTTAAATCTCGTAAAACAAAATTTCCCAAAACATGTTCTAATTGTGGTGGAATTTGTTTTTGAAAAGTTGGCAAAGGTTAGCAGCATGACTGATTTGTAGTAACTTTAATTTCGTCGTAACTTTTAACATTTTCTTCTTTAGCTTCTACTCCCTTCTTGGAGTGTGTGCAAACTCAGAATCCTACTTCTCTCAACCCCACTACTCTTTGTAAACTCCCAGCTAGATTTGGCTCTTTCTTTTCATCCCATAAAACGACATGCCTCACTCTCTGCACCACTTCATCTCTCCACAGAACTCAAGTCAGCCATGCCCTTTATTTCATTAGCTCAACTTTCTTCAAACACCTTTTTCCATGCAATTCTCCATGACATGATATCATGATTCCAAAGCACCAACATGAAATAAAATAAACATTTATGTATGTGTGTGCTTAAAGAATGCAACTGGAGAATCCTATTTCTATATGTGGCCCCATGCTACATGCCAGAGCTGGAAATCCACTTAGGGGCACGTACATTAACTATATAGTATATGGTGTTTTAGTTCAACCTATAGCACATAAATATATTTATTTTGCATAACGAAAAGATGCTCTACTGTTCAAAGTTCACCACCTCTCTTGATCATGACTCAAGTAAATGTGTTCAAACTCTTTATACAACAAGCTAGATCATAAACATAAATCGGAAAATCTGGTAGGGAGAAAAAAAAAAGTGGAGCTAAGCCTAATAATTACTTCTCATAATAAACCTTTCAACCTCAAATCATTTATAATTTTCAAAATCAAGTTTTGATTAATGAAACTGGTGCTGCTGCTCAGGCCAGGACCAAAAATTATGCTGCTCATCGATGTTGTGGAACATGTTGCAGAAACTCTCATCTTGGAGATCTGATCTTGATGAGCATTGGAGGAGTTGAGTTATGCTTGTTGGCTTATGGGAAGTTGGTAGAAGGCTTTTTCCATTCTGAGAAGATACAGGACTGTTCATAACTGGTGTTCTTGAGAGATCCAAGTTGATTTCTGAACTGTTGTTGCTTCCATTGCTCCAAGAACCCTCATTTTCTTTCTTGAGGCTAACTGTTCCGGTTTCACAGCTGTCCCTATTTTTCAGAGTTTGTAGCTGCAAACGCCACACAGTAAAAGTGTAAAACCAAAACTGTTTGTTCATGTTAGCTTCACTACAGGTTTTGATTCCAAGCCTTTATTCACGTTTCATTTGTTCCATGTGAAGGATAAAATGCAACCTTGTCTTTTTCATAGCCAGCAACATGGAACAGTTATAACTCAGAGTTTTCAATGGAAATAGGAAAGCAAACATTACTATTAATTCGCAGTTCTCAGTTCTGACACTGTCACACTGACACCTCCCAAGAATGATCAACTCAATCAACAAAAACAAGTTAATGATGGAACCAATCTCTTTAAAATTGATCACTGACGCATGTGGGATCATCATAACTCAATCAGTGAAATGGAGTTTTCTCACTAAATAACGAGAAACACCAAAACTCAAAATAAAAGAACAAAAGATCCTCTTATAGCTAAAACATATATGTATATATAAAAGACTAGCTTTCTTTTTTTCAAACATGAAAAAACATCAACTTCATCCATTGTTTAGGGAAAAAGAAGAGCACCGAAACGATTAAGAGGACCTTTACAAAATATAGCTAATCAAATTCTAGAAAATAAAACTACGGTGGAAAAAAATGAGACACGGTACAACCATTAAAGAACAAAACTTCATTCCTTTCTATACAAAATCCAATTTAAAACATACAGAATCAACACCAAGCAATTATTTTGGATTCATGTCAAACTCTATTGTCGTTTAATGATATTTTGAATCAATATCAGGATTTAAACAGTACAAAACTAACCCCCGTAGATCTCAAAATTTTCAAACTCTCAAATCAACAGAATCAGTATTACCATGACCCAGAAAGGAACCTTAATTATTCCTGCAAACAAGGATGTTTTCAGAATTTGAACCAATGACTGGTCACAAGACATGATTCTGGTATTGAAAATAATAAAACTTGGATGTAGTCAATTTCGATACTATTTTTCAATCAGAATTGAAGTTTCGCCAATTAACATCATCTGATGATCTTAGTATAAGCTGTTTTTTCGCGATTATTGGAATTGAAATTCCAATTCTGATGGGAGAACAAGATAAAAGAGTTTTGTGTTTTGAAAACTGAATGATGAGTTACAAAAGCTGCATATAATTACCTCTGCGTGTAGTTTCTGATTCTGAGCCTTGAGGGAGTCATTATCAACTTTCACAGCTTCAAACTGCTTCTTAAGAATTTCATACTCCTTCTCAAGCTGCTTGGTCTTCCACCTTGCTCTCCTATTCTGGAACCATATAGCGATTTGCCTTGGTTGAAGTCCCAAAGCCTTGGCAAGCTGCATTTTTCTCTCAGGCTCAAGCTTGTTCCCCAACTCAAAACTCTTCTCAAGTGCCTTCACCTGCTCCAAATTCAGCCTCTTCTTCTTCTCCCCTAGCTGAGATCCATCATCTGACAAATCGTCGTCTCCATGCACTTCATCGCACTTGTTCTCTATGCCTGAAAACGACATCGATCGCTTCATCATGAAACCTGCACCTGCACCACCACCTAAACACCACACAGAATCAACACCAGCATATTCTATATAATAATACATGCTTCCTTTACCTAAAAAACTAACTTATTTTTTATCATATGACCCATATAATCTTTTTTAAGAAAAAAAAATCATATACCCCAGAATATAAGATTTTAAGATACAATCCACAATTTCAACAGCAGCATCAAAGTTCCTAAGATCTTCTATAACCACAAAGCAACTGTGAGTGTAGTTCTACCGACTACATTTATCAGCAATTGTCAAGCATCATAATCAAACTGTGTCTGCAATTTAAAAACTTGATAATTATATATATATATATATATATACATCAAGGTTTCAGATTGTTATAGTCATCACAGATTCCTCATGATTCTTGGTATAAAACAGATAAAAACAGTTGATGAGGCTGAAATTAGAGTCATGATACAATAAAATAGAATAAGAAAAAGCTTTGATGTTATGATTGAAATTGCAGATACAAACTGTTTTCTAAGACCTTCATATACATCAACAAAGCATATGAATTGACATGAAATTACACTTGTAGAGAGGGGAGATGAGTGAGTGTGTTTTGTTGTGATTACCTTGAAAGTGATGGGGTGGGAAAGAAGGGAAGGCGTTGAGGGAGGAAGAGTTAGAGCGTAGATGGAGTTGTTGGTGGTGGTCATGATCTTCATGGGTTTGGAAGATGAAGGAGTGAGAGGGAGGGAAGGCCATGGTAGAAGAACAAGGACAAGAGGATGGATTTTTGGCTTTTTATTGATCAGCATGGACAGGAAACGAGAAATTGGAATCATGCAAAGTCTAGTTTAGCTAATACATGTCCACATCAAAAGCACAAACAATTTCAATAAAAAGAAGAAAACTTGGTTTCTTTAGAGATCTAGACGTAGCTTGACATATATACATTATTGGGGTATATAATCAGTCCAAATTAAATTTCCAATACTTGAAACCAAGAGAAATTTCAAAATATATTTTCTAAATCTTTGTATATTAACTTATAAAGTGAATTTTATGAATTGAAAATATTTTATATAAGGAACAAAAATTATAGAATCTATCTGTAATTAAGATTTTAGAAAAACAAAGATAAAAAATATATATAAAATCAAAATGTTAAAAATATTTGAAAAAAAAATCATTTATTTATTTCAAAAATGGAAAAACCAAAATTTCTACACTTAAGGGCATACCAATCTTTGATGAAAATTCCGACTTACACATTTGACAACTTTTAAGTGAGTTGGAATGTTGCCAAAAAAACCCCACTTGATCTTAAGGCAATTTAACTCGTTGGGTCATGCATGTGTGTGAAGAGGAAACCTGGCATTTTGCAACGTGAAAATCCAGAATCCAAGGAGAGAATTATAATAGAAAATATTTTGAAATGCATGCCTCATCAAGAAGTGATTTTATTATAACAAATATTATTGTTTTTTTGGTGAAATTATTAGAAGTATATACGCATCAGTGATGGAACTTGCACTTGGAATTAAATTAATTAAAGTGATGAGTCTGGCATCTGCTGGATATATTTGTCCATTTTCTATCAAACATAGACTAAGATTTTGGAATATTTTCACTCCAATTGTGTCCTGCTATTTCCCTATATTTCCTTAGACATACATATGGTAAAGATAGATTTGATTGTAAAATTTTAAAAATTCATTTCATCCTTTGAATGAATATAAAATATGATCTCATGTGTTGTCTATTTCATATAATAAATATATCAGATATGTAAGAGGTTAATTTTAATAAGTTAATAAATACATTTCTGTTTTTAATATGTTTGAACTTTTTTTAGTCTAACCCTAAAAAATAATCTTGTGGTCTCTAAGCAAAATTATTTTATATTTCGTCTCTGAAAAATTTAACTATATTAAATGGTTCTTGAAATATTTTTAATTGTTTCTTTATTAATTCCTGAAAAAATTTATTAATTATTTTTCACAGACATTGATTCGTCAAATTAACATAGGATGAAAGAGTTGGTAAGTTGTTAATTTAATAATATAAGTGATTTAACAAGACGAAGTTTGAATTTTGATTAATTATGTTAAAAATATTATAAAAATAAAAAATTGATTTTTAAATTTCATTTATATAAAACTATTATCTCTACCTAAGAGAAGTTAATGTAGGAATGTGACATAGTAATTATAACAGGTAAAATGATAATTTTGTTAAATTGAGGATTTGGACTTCACTATCTGAAATATGAATGATTGATATTTATATTTTAAAATTATGAATAATTGAATTAAATTGGTGTGAAATTGGTTATGAGAGGTAATAAGGTCTGTTTTTTATTAATAGAAATGAAACTGAAGTTGTTCTCAACTGGTTGAATTTAGAAATTTTGTAAAGTTTTTTATTTTTAATAATTCGTTTAAGTAATAAATTGGTCACTTGTCATTTTTTTAGCAACTACTTATTATAAGACTTAATAATTAATATTAACTATTATTTTAGATTAACAAATTATTAAAAAAATAATGATTGTATCGATATGTGATGCATATTTTATGATGTAAAATGTGTTTGGACATCATCATAGTTAATTCCGAGGAAGAAATAATATATTGAGATTCATAAATTGTGTGTATAATATTGATAATTTTGTACCAAAATACGATGTGTAGAGAGTAGAGTGAAATTCCATTGACTTATATGAAATGTCTTCTAAATTATAAAAATGAACTTTATAAGTACTTATCTAATATATGTTATTATGATATAAAATATAAATATTGATACATGATAAGATGAGATAGGAATAATAAATGAAGAGAACGTGGTTAGTTTTTAAAAGAGTATATCCATGAAATTATTTTAAAAAATGAATATTGCATAATGATACATAGAAACCTATTAATATACCTGAAATAGTAGCATAAACAAAAGATTAGATTAGTTTACATTGTTAGTTGGTATAATTGGGTTTGATCATGTTAGCATGTACCCCACGTTAATTTTGTTGGATATATATATACCAATAATTTAAAGGTAGAGAGGCATAAGATAGGGGAAAAACATATGTATCTTGAAGGATCAAATCAAATTTAGGGTATCTTTTTTAGATCACGAATTTGCTTGTTATCCGGGATAAGTAGTCATGACTCACCATAATTTTCACCCAAGCATTGTGAATCAATGAATATGTCTTTTATCCATTCATGGACAAATCATTGGCTGCTTTTACTTTTTCTAATGCTCACAACGTATCTAGGGCACTTCAACCCCTCACCATATTCACTTCTAAAAATCAAAACTTTAAAATTTTCAAAACCTAAAGACCAAGATCACAAATCAAGACTTACGATTTAGCATGTGTGTTTCCGACATGTTTGAAGAAATCAAATAAATCCCTTTTGAAATCCATTGGCAAAGACTGAATTTTTTTTCACCCAACACAAAATTGATTGATCAAAAAGTAATTTTTAAATATGGTTGTCCAATAAAGTGTATAGTTTGATAACAAAAATGAAAGATGGAGTCTTATAAAAAAGAAAAAAATGAGAGAAAAGAAAACTTGTTAGGTGGTAGGCTAGGTTGGTCTGAGTGTTGCACATTGAATTGTGTGGTGGTGAAAAAGAAGGAAGGGGTGGGTAGGTAATGGGTATCAGTGGGGATGGGACCCACCAGGTGTCCCTCTCTAGCTAGGCTGTCCTACAGCACCAAAGACCCTTTGCATTTGCAGCCCTTTATTGGAAATTTGGGGGCAACCCCTTTGGAATAGGGTGAGACCATGTTATTCCCTGTTGCTCTTTCTCCCAAAAATTAATTCATCAAAGTGCTCTGAATCTTCTCCACATGCTCCCCTGTTCCCATGTGCTTCTGCTTCCTCTCTCTATCTCTCTCTCTCCTTTTTCTTCTTCTTCTTCTTCTTCTTTCTTCAACCAAAATCATTTTCAATCACAACAAAAAATTGAGCTGGATCTTTTCTTCATTTTTAATGCACCCTCCTCCTTCTTCTTCTTCTTCTTCCATTCTTTGAGTTTATCTGTTAATTATTCTTTCTGTCTCATATTTTTTCTCTTTCAGATAATAATACCCTTTCATGTCCTTTTATGAGGTTTAGACCTTTATAAATAAATTAAAAATATCCAAAACATTATTTATTCCACACCAACGTCAAGATAACCTAAAAAGTTATAGCTAAATGATAAGTAGTGTCCTAGAACATTGACTGTGTAAATCAAAATTTATTTTTTATTAAGATAAAAAATACTCTTTTTTTATGATTTTTAATACATTTTTATATGATTTTGAACCAAAAACTCTCTATGTTATTGAGGTTTTAGTACATGGTAAGAGATAAGTTCTTTGAGATAAACTAAAAAAATTGACACATAATATTTTATGATTCTATGATAAGCAGTTATATGTTGCAGCACTTTCATCGATTCACTAAATCTGGGATCAAACACACAGATTCACAATTTTCTATGTAGAAATGACACCACAATTCCCCATAAGACATTGATCAAGAACAAGTTGTATACATATATACTTGTGTCAACTCTTAAAAATAAAATTGTTTATATTAGAGGAATCTAGTTAATAAGCTATTCTTCTTTTTAACTTTTTAATCACATACCTTTATTTTATCTCTTGTGGTTAAGCATCATGACTCAAGAGTCCACATTCTATGAAATGTTTGAATTAAAAATTTGAAATATGAAAACCAACCAACAAAATGATGTCTTCAAAAGCCTTCCTAATTATTAACACATTATTTGAGTCTGTGTCTTCCTATCTCTATCACTAGCCTATAAGACCATTCTTCTGTAGACTAGGGTTTATAAACTATTCATAGGTTCCTCCATGATAAGAAAATGATAACTATATCTTCATTTCTGCTTCATATAAACCTAGCTATAGCTAAAGATATTGGAGACATAACTTTAATTTTTGGGATAATATTGATACTAAATATTCGTTTTCATTGTCTTTTTCTACTCTTATTCCATTCTAGAATTAGTTATATAAAATATATGTTTAACTTTTATTCATTTGTTAAATTTATAGCAATAAAAAAGCTTTAAAAAAAATTATGACCATGTTATGAAATTAGGGTTTTGATTATTTTGCGTGTATGGTGAAACTTCTTATAAAGCAATTTGTTCTTTGGGTCTATAAATATTCTCTATATTACATATACTTAGGTTTGTGTAGGAACAGATCATATGGTATCACGTTGCATTAATATTTGAGAAGTTTTAGAAATGATTTAATAAGTGGTTTTCTATTTTAGGGTTTTGAGATGATAGAAGTTGGAAAGAAAAAACAAAGGCATCTTAATTGGAGACCAAGTGTTCCCCAGCCATGTTACTTGAGCCCTTCAATGCAAGCCAACCACCAATCTTTTATGCATTTCCAACCAAAAAAACATGGTCATGGCGTGCAAGATAAAACCTTTGAATCACATCATCACTCTATGTTTATAACTTTATATCACTTTTTTTTTCACATTTTATTATTATCATTTTTAATTTTAACTTATTTTACCAATTTGTGAAGTTTAAGGTAATGGGACCGGTTTAATAGACAAGTATGGTGAAAATGTGAAAAAAAAAACAGATATTTAGAATGGATATTATGTATAATTTTTTTAATTTTAAAATTCTCTTTCCAAAATCAAAGAGATGAGCCGAAATACTTTAGAGGAAGTTGAACCAAATTTCCAGTTTTAACGCATGGAATAGGAAAAAGTGGGCTTTGCTCTCTCTCTCTCTCTCTCTCTCAAGCGGCCCACGTTTCTTTCTTTACAGTAAATGGCCCAAAAATGAACATAGTGCATTGTATGTGGGCTTTATATCCTCCTTCAAGTCATAGGTTCAACATACATTTGGGCCTGTTGCCTCAAGGGTCTTATCCGACTTGACTTGCTTCATCCAACTCCAACTTGGACCCGAAGAACAGTTTGACCTAATTCAGTTTATATTTTTTAAAGAAAATATTTTTTGGAACTCTCGATTTTATCTACTTAAAAAATATTGGCCATGAGTTGGCCCGTTATATGACTTTGTGGGCTTTTAGCCCAATGAACCTTTTCTTTTGTGGGCTTTTGGCATGTGAACTGTTTTGTTCTAACCTCATGCACTTTGTACCTCAAGTAAGAAAGATCTCTACTAAAATCAACAAAAAAATTATGTGGGTCAAACGATATTTTATAATGAACCTTGACTTTTGGTTCATAAATTCAAAAAAAAAAAATTCCAATCCATATCAAATTCATATTCAAAGTACAAAAATATAAATATAAAGTTGAGAGAGATCTCCTATAAACATAAATAATTATAAATTGGATTTGAATATTTAGATTTACCTACCCTACACAATTAAATAACTAATAAAATATATTATAAACTCAAAGTAATACCCAACTTATTTAATATGCAAACAACAATTATAACTTTTATTTCATATTCTATCTCTCTTAACATTACAAAAGTCTTAGAAGTAACAAAAACCTAAACATTACAAAATTGTTGATTTATACAATTTTATAACTATGCCCTAAGTCTATAAGTTTATGACTAACCGATAGTGTGACATGCATTAAGATTGTTGCATGTATGTAAGAACTACGTGTGCAAATAGAGTACAACACATCAATAATGACCTTTATTGTTTTATGTTTATCTTCCTTGTCTTCACTTGTTTGAATAGATTTTTCTTTTCTTGAAGAAACTCTTGCAAAGCTTCGGGTGTATAAGGAGGAGGCATTGTACATGGAGGTGTCTCACTTGGTGAAGTCACCATGGACTCAACCAAAAGACGTTTCTTTAAACCACGCAGGGGACAAACCATATTTTCAGAGCAGGTTTCAACAGCTCCGGTAGGTATAGTTGGTTTGAATTTCAAGAGTTTTGCATACTCATTGAATAGATGAAACATGTAATCATACACAAACTTCATCTTTAAATTCTCTACGATGTAGTTGGTTCCTTGCATGCCAATCGCTTGTGCCTGCAATCATGTGTAGCTGGAAACTGAGTGCATATTTCATCATGTGAATATCTACTTTCAAGTTAACATTACTTTGTTTGAAGTATAGAAATCATTTCTAAACAAATAAAGGAAGAAAGTGATTACACTGTCAAGGTGAGCATTTCCCCAATCCACTGCATACTTGATCTCTTCGCACATGTTTCTGATGCTGATAGGCCAATAGTGTCGCAAAGGTAACATGTTTCTTGTAAAGAAGTCATAATACTTAGGCTCTATGAACATGGTCATTGAGTCACATGCTATTATGTACTTTTCACTTACAGACCATGTAGCTCCTTCTGTATAGATCTTATATCTTTTAAAAAAATGAACAAATTTTAAAATTTAGGTTAGTAAAATTTGTAAAGATTGTATGGAACAAATATACAAAAGGAAAACCAACCCTAACTGGAGCAGTTATAAAGTGTTTGAAAACTTTACCTAAAGGTACATTGATTTTCCAGTTTTGAGTTCTCAAAATTACTTGCTTTCTCATGCTGCCATTGCTGAAAAGAAAAATAACGTTAATTTCATCTTGAAATAACCAATGCATTCACCTAACTGAAACAAAAAGTTAGAGTTTAAATTATATATTTACTATGCCATATATTCTTGCATTCCAGTCATGTTTTTCTGTGGCGTTGCACTTGCCAAGTTCTCCCCTAACATAGGACACTTTTGGGTTTCCCTTCCAAAAAGCATAGGGTATCCTATCCTTCCATTTGACTATTTTGTTGCCTTCTTGTATATTATGCAATGTTGCTTCCCATGGTCTTATGTTAAGCTCAGCCCTAGTATTCGAAATGAAAAAGGGTATCGCTCAGATCTAGGTCTCTTCAACAAAATTAATGGATGGAGAACAAATAACTTATAAGTTTTTCACTCTAAAGGAGATAGAAACTTTACCAACCCCAGAAGGTCCAATCAGGGAAGACAATGTCATACGAATTTTCATCTCCACAGTAATGGAACACAGGTGGAGGTGAAATCTGTGGTTCTTGGAAATCATTTTTGTTTACCACAGTCTTGTCTCCACATTGAAACAGTAGCTCCAAATCTGGTATTTTTCCGGGATACAACCTTAGGAGTTGCAAAATTCCCCATATTGTGAACAAATCTCTTGTTTGAAACACCTTGCCATGCTTTTCTATATAAGCTTTTCCATTTACAATTACAAGCCTAATATGTGAAATGTTTTTGCCTCTTTCAATCATTTCCCTCGTGATTCCTGTACTCTCCCATGGTTTTAGATCTTCATGAATCCATTTAAAGTAATCTGGACATGATGTAGATGATGAATCATCTTCAAACTCAATGTTTGTTGGATAGTTTGATGAACAAGTTGTTAACTTCCCATCAGAGCAATAAAGTGGGAATTTAGGTTGTTGTGAATTGAATATAGTAAGACTAGTGCTTGCTATTCTGAACTGAAAACCAAAAGACAAAACTATTATATGAAACAAAAGTTTGATAAATGTACTTTTTTTATTGTATAAAATAATCAAAATAGAAATATTGAAATATGTATTTATCAAAGTGAATCAATTTCCTATACATAACTGAAATGTATAACCTGTTTGAAATATTTATGCTAGCAATACACACAGTCAAAGTTCTGGTTTTTTATTATATTCATCTGATCCTTTCTTTTACCTTTCTCTTTCGTTTTTAACATGCCTGAAAAAATCTTATATAATGAGATTTGAAAGGGTAAGAATTGAGGATGAAATTTACTGAGATTCTTATGGAACACTACACCAAAGAATGAAGAGGATTATGAATAAGAAAAACTTACAAGATCAATTTCGAGGATGAAAGAGCTTGTAACAGAAACAACCAAGATGATGATGGAGACGAAAATCCATTTCGTCATTGTGCTAAACAACTCATACCCACCCTGAATCAAATGCGAGAGGCTGACCTTAGAATTCTACAAATTGGTGTTGTTATGCAATGATGTCCCAATTGCACGATGCAACTAGTTTATTGGCATTCACGTAGAAACCAATTTTATAAGCCCCACTATATATGGTATCTCATGATTTCCTTTTCTTGTCATAACCCAAAAGATTAAGACACTAAAATTTAGATAAAAATATTTTTAAATCTAGAAAATTTATATTCATGTTTAGTTTTTATTTATTTATTTGTATGAAATATCTTAAATTCAATACTTATTTCTTATTTCTTTTTCTATCAAATATCTTATTATTACAATTCTGGCTAAACATTTCTTCTTCTTTTTTTCAATTAAATATGACATTATTATGCAGTTACATCAACTTTGAGTCAAAATTATAAAACTGGTAAACATGAATGTTTGGTTTATAAACGGTTAGATTGATGGAGAAAGTTGCAGGCTTTGGAATAAGTCTCATCAAAATATTTATCGGATAAATATGCCTTTAATGCATATATATATATATATATATATATATATATATATATATATATATATATATATATATATATATATATATATATATATATATATATATATGTTAGTGTATTTTATCTAAATCATTTTTTAAAAAAAGTTATCAAATAATTTTATTTTTTAATTTAATTTTATAAATAATTTAAAAAAAACTAACCTATAAAACTATTTTTTAAAATTAAAAAAAAAACTAATGATTACCAAATGACCAAGCTTATACTTGATATAAGTTACATTAGTTTTATTTATTTATTTATCCATTCATCAACCCAAATAATACGATTAAAATGCATCCTTATTAATCAGTATAACATTTAACTAACTTTTATATATTTTACTAATTGAATTCGATTTAACTGTTATAATTAAAAGATAAATAAATAAAATAAAATTTAAAATACCTATATAATAATTTGGTATAATATTTTTTTAAAATTTATACTAAAAATCGTTATATTTAATCAGAAAATTGAATTCAATTAATCTAAATCTTATAAGATAATTTCGAAAAGACATAAGAAAGAATGAAAAAATGTGAGTAATACCTGACATATTTGAAGAGTATCTATAACCAAAAAAGATAAAAAATTTGTTGATAAATGTTATCTTAATTAAGTATTAAAATAGTTAATTTTTTTGAACTAAATATTTTATCAATATAAATAAAATTCATAAAAATAATATATCCTAAATAATAAATAAAAATATATTTATATAAATAATATATATATATATATATATATGTGAATTAATAACTACTTTATTTTAAATATGAGTACAAATATAATTTTCAATATCTTTTTTTTAATTGAGAACGTTTATAAGAAATTATTTTTATCTATATATATAGATAGTAGTGATTAAGAATAACATTATATTCCATTTATCTTAAACGTTTATTTTAAATATAAAATATATTTTATATGTTAAAAATATCTGTTTATAACTTAAATTTAAATTATAATTTCATTTCTTTATTTATCTTTAATTAGGATATTATTTAAAAAATATTTAAAATAGTCGGTTCATCACTTTAAATTGCCTCAATCGACTAATTTTAATTTAAAGTTTATATGAAATAACTCCTCATATATTTAAAAATAAATTAACGGACACTATTATTAAAAAGGTAGACAAATAAAATATAAAAATTATTTATCCCCTTTTCAAAATCAGTCTGATAACAAATTTTGATCTTAACTGAAAAATATCTACATACAAGTTTTTTTTTTTAAATTAATTTGACTACTAAAAATATTACTAAATTATATTTTAATTTATTAAACAATTTTAATATTATAATAAATTTTATATATATGATAATGATTGAAATATTTTATTTAAATAAAAATTAAATAAAAGAAATATTTTCCAATGAAATATTAATTTAATATTTGTAAATATTTAATAATGATTTAATATATTTTATTTCTTTTTCATTTTTTAAATATTTTTTTAATTCTTCACTCTTTAGATATATATATGTATTCTTTTTTCACTGATTACATTATATCATGTTTTTTTCTCTTATATGATGTGTGTACAAATTTTTTGAATAATTCATTTTTTAAATTTTATTTTATTTTTTTCTCTCTACTTTTTAAATATATCTCACGTTCTTCTTTATACACTTATTGTAAATAATTTTTTTCTTAGTTGATACACAAGTTAAAGCATTTTAGTGTTCATATTTTTTTTATAATTAATTTTTTTAATTGAATCAGAAAAAAAGGTTATCAATTTTTTTTTCTCTCTACTCTTTAAATATATCCCAATTATTTTTCATTCATTCTATATATTATTTTTTCTCTCTAATGACACTAAAAACAGTTATAAAAAAACCATATTAATTTGTTAAACAACTATTTTTTTTTAATATATATCACATTTTCTATCTCTATTTTATACGTGTTACACGTTTTTATTTATTTATTTATATATTTATTATTATTATTCTGACATTTTTTTTTCATATGCACATAGTATTTTTAAATTTATATTTTCCTTTCCATTACCTTGTATTTTTTATTCATTATATAGAATATTTTGTTTCTCTTCTATTACATCAAAACTTACGAAAAAAAAATTCTTTACCTATAATATAGATATAAACTAATGAAATCTGAAAATTTTTAAACATTATAATTTATTTAAGATTAATGAATATAAAAAATATTAGTATAAATATAAACTAATGAAAACACGTGTATCGCATATTTTTTTTAATACAAAATAATTTATTTAAGAGTGATAAATGACAAACAAAAATGTAATTGAGAGAGGGAAAATGATACTTTTATTATTTTTTATTTATTAATTTTATTTAAGAGAAAAAATAAAATAAATATATAGTTGAAAAAAATAAAATATATATATAAAAGATTATGATAAATAATAATTTAATAATAAAACTTTTTTTAATGTGTCTACGTTTTTTATATTACTAATTTATTTTTTAATTTTATTTTATCTTTTTCTTCATTCTTTAAATGTACACTTTTTTTACACGAGTTATACTGTTTTTCTATTTCTTCTTTCTACTAATTTTTTAAATGTATCTATAATCTATATCTATATATAGATATAAACATAAAATCTATAACTAGATTCCTGGTAACTATCCATGTAATCGGAGAAAAAAATGTCATAATTTAACCAAAAAATAGTTATTATAATTTATATATTTTTTAAAAATAGTAAAAATATGATAAAAATAAAATAGTGAATATATTTAAATAATAGGTATTTTAAAGAGTAAAATAAGAAAATAAAATAAAAATTAGATAATATTTTAAAATAAATTAATTATAAAAAATTTGCACTCGATTATAGAGCTTTAAATGTTATAACGAGTCAAAAATATCTTCTCTATTCCTACTATGGATGAGTTACTTGATGAGTTATATAGGGCATAATTCTTCTCTAAACTAGATTTAAGATTTGGGTACTCATCAAATACTGATTAAAGAGAAGGATAGGCACAAGACAGCTAGGCATGGCAACGGGCGGGGCGGGCGGGGCGGGTTTTGCCTCCGATCCCGCCCCGATCCCTGTTGGGGTTAGAAATTAAGTCCCTATCCCCGTCCCAGTTGGGTTTCGGGTTTCCGCCCGCCTCGTCCCCGATTTACATTATTTTTAAAAAGATAATTACATTTATAATAAATTAATTTTATTATCTATTTTTTATATATAAATAAATATTTATAATTTATAATAATTATTAATTAAATATACATTCTAATTTATTATATTTATATTAAAATATGTATGTAAAAGAAATATTTAATCATTTTTTATTTATAACATTATTATTATAATATCTGTATTCAAATATTTGAATACTTATAACATTATTATTATAATATTGTATTCAAACATTTGATTATATATATAAGTTAATTCATTTTTAAGTTGTCATTTAAAAATATGAAATATATAGTTTATAAGAAAATATTTAATAAGTTAATTATTATTCAATTAGTTCAAAGTAATAAAAGTTTAAATTATCAATTCCTTTAATCCTTTAAAATACAATTATTTTATTAAGATAAAATTCGATATATGATAAATAAGAATAATAAGATAAAAAAAATGACATAATAAAACCTAATAAATATAAATTATAAATAAAATAATATTATTTACTACTAAGATTTATGTAAAATATTTAGAAAAACATAAAGAATAAAAAAATTAACTTTGTGTTCATCAAATTGATTGAAAAGATTGAAAAAAAAACAAATTGATGGGAGAGATTAAGAAAATGTGAAAAACTAAAAGGTAAAAGAGAGAATAATGTAATAAATTAATTGATATAAAAGATTAAAAAAGACAAAAAAATTAAAAAATAGGTATAAGAAAAATAAAAATTGGTGAAATATAAAAAAATGACCTTATATGTAATAGAAAAAGAAAAGAAAATACTTTTAAAATATTAATATTTGAAAATTTAAATTTAAATATAAAGTCGGGGCGGGGACGGGGCGGGGTCGGGGTGGGGATTGCATTACCCATCCCGCCCCGCCCGGTCAACTCGGGTTTTCCCGTCAAACTCGGGGCGGGACGGGTCGGTCCCCACGGGGACGAGTTTAATTATCATCCCTAAAGACAGCTTTTAGAACTCATCAAGGGCATTATGAATGGTTGGTAATACCATTTAGTTTAATTAATGCTCCTACCACCTTTCAATCCCTCATGAATGACATTTTTCAAGGTATCTTAAGGAAATTTGTCTTAGTTTTATTTGATGATATCTTAATATATAATCCAACCTGGGGAGAACATCTAAAGCATCTAGATACAGTCCTGCAGATTTTACAATACCATCAATTGTATGCCAAATTGTCAAAGTATAATTTTGGCTTAAAGATTACTTGGGTCATACGGTATCAGGAAAAGGTGTGGTCATGAATCAAGACAAAATTAAGGCAGTTATG